TGGATTCGGTTCTATCGTCATAGACACTTGTTGGCGAGGATCCATCTCTGGTTTGAAGGAGCGGGGCCAGTTTTGGGATTCAGGGCAGTTAGAACGGAGGACGAAAAGACGGGTGTGGACTCGAGAGGCACCACACTTGGCCAGAGCTCCCGGAGCCTAAGGAAGGGGTGTCTTAATTCAGCTTGCAAACATTCCGACTGGACCACTTGGTTACTAAAGGCAATAGTGCCCCGTTTAGCCCAGATCAGATTTGACGCGGACTGGATATGTCAGATGTCAACTAATTTAATAGCCTAATAAACTAACCACAAAATGAAGCTGGAGTTGCATTCTCACACGGAGCAATCTCCGAAGTGCTCTCGTTCTAGGGATAGTGTCAACAGTTAGCATTCTAAAGTCTCCTAAAATGATTTGATGATTTTTCCGACGGAATTCCCGATCATTGGTACACTTGATACTTTTCGCAAACCCTTTTTCTTATCATGCCAATAATACCGCATCCTGTGTAATAATAATATAAATATTAATCTGGAATCTGGTCTTCATTCCAGACGAGGCCGACACTCGCCCCGAAGCGAAGTAACTATGGTAATTCTCTTTCATGTCAGCAGATCAGCTGGGGGTGTCTCATCAGCTGATGCTCCCTCTTATCCTCTCGATAAGCAGTGACCACTGCGTAGTGATGCACAACGCCTCTCCAATCATCAACCACATCACCTGAACACCATTAGGCCGACTACCTCACATCAGCGACCTGTTGAACAGATCATCATGCAGAATTACCATGCGCCCCGCCTCTGCCTCCATTTTTTTTTCTCCCCCTTCCCGTCTCCATTCATTCCGAGACCATTAGCCTCCACCCGAACCGGATCGGGGCTGATCTAAGTACCGACCAAAAAAGTTATCAAGCAGGCTATCCACCGAACGGCGAAGCTAAGAGCCTTGGAAAGGGTTGGCACGGAGATCCGGCAGGAATATTCACCAGCCTCTTTGCAAAGCCACGGGCACGTTTACCCATGATAACTGATTGGTGCCTGTCTAAATTCTAGAAGACACTGATCGGTCCGGGCGAAAAATCCTTTGCCGCAGCGAAGGATTGTAGTCTACTGCGCTAGATGAATAGAGGCCGACCTTCTTTCTCTGTGCGTGGTAGGATTTCAGACCACGTTCACCACGTTTGATCGCCAGGATCTGTGGCGTGGTGTTGGTCGGATTGACAGCGCCACCGTCTAGATGTCCATACTCGACCGGTCAAGAGGATCCCATCATGATTGTTTACCCTTTTGAAATTGGCGCAGTTACTGATCTTTGGTTCCGGTGGATCGACTATCTTGAAAAAGGAGCCCCCGCCTCTTCTTTCTCTCGTATTCGTAGCACCTTTTGTCCGCAGTAGGTAATACTCACATACTGTGTCTCCTCCGTCAAGTAAAATTTCATCCGACAATGCGTATCACTTCCTTTTTTCATTTTTTTTTTCTTTCTGGAGAGCTAGCTCCCTATAGGGATACCCGCATTATTAAGCTCTGGCCTGCACCGGAGCCTGACTGCCAAGCCGCGGCCGGCTCAGATCCGCCTTGACGATAAGCTTCAGCTCCAGGTCCGAGGCCGCAGCCACAGCGGTGAAAAGGACACCGTCTGCCTCCATTCCTACTGCCATTGACTTTTCGCCGCAATTACTTGGCTTATTGGTGGACTTTTGCTGAAACTCAAACCACACCTGCTTCTGATTGGACAGCTTGTCTTTCCCGTTTGGGAAACCTCGGTGATTGACCTCGAATATGCTAAACATTTAGTAGATGGACAGGTCGTAAGAGGATGAGACCCTTGCCTACTACAATGAGGTGTTTACTCGATCAAAATCTCTCATTGTTCGAATCTATGCAAGTAGAGTTGACGGTTCTCGGGGAAGTCGAGACTATGCTGACTGAAGGAGTCAATCAGTCTCGTTTGCCTTCAGCCTCATTCCTCTTCGGGCCCCCTCTGCCCATTCCCTCAGGCACCGACGAATGTCTACCCCTGCGCCTCCCAACACGTGGGGCCAATTGCATCGAGCGCAGGCCTCACTTTCTCCCCGTCGGTCGCTGCATATACTTAGTGGCGAACGCTATGCCTAGCAGGTCGACTAGACAACTTAGTGTGGTAGTCAGAAGCGAGTAAATCCATGCGCGATGCCGATTCCCGATACGGATCCCGAGTCTGGCCGCGCCGTAAGGCAGACCCATTTTGATTTCTTTATTATCTGTCTACTGGCGAAAAGGATAAATTGCATGCTTCGAGACAGACAATGAGATTAGCACCTAAGGTATGGGACAGGAGTGGAAACGCAAGACAGGCGCAGGCATTTTTCATTATTGCACATTGTGCTCGGCCGAACGACGCTCCTGCAACCAATCAGCTTAGCTCCGAGCCAATGATTGACATCTAAAATAGCAATCTAGACTGTCGTAGACGAGGATTTGCGGCGCAGTCGTTGTACATCTGTCCTGACGCTACGTGATGCAGTCGCTACGGAGAACGGAGACTAGCCCAGTCCTTAGAGTCCGGTGTTTAAGAAACTGAGTGGGGGTGAGGGAGGAGGGGGGGGAAGAAAGGAAGTACTCCGTAGACGGTCTTTTGGCTAGCGTCCGGAATGGCTGTCCCCCGTCAATAGCTTATGACGGGTGCTATCGACCCTTTTCTAACTACTCCGACTTTGGACGTACTAGTGTTACTGGTACCTACAGAAGATGGTCCGCACACCGTAGGTTAGTCAGTAATAGATAGCTTACCTACTCCTTACTAAGGTGGGTAAGCGACTAAATGAAGGATGTATATATGCGTAAATCTGTATGTATGCATGTGCTCGACAACAATTTCATATCACAAGGGCGGTCCATTGTCAATCAGTCAGTCAGGATGATGTATGTATGCCGGGGAGGGAGGGGAAGTGACTGGACTGGGCTACGGAGCACAGGAGGCTATAATTATCCGACGCAAACCAATAATGATGCATACTATATGATGATCGCGTCGATGACTTTTCCCATCCCCAAGGGCCTTCTAGTTTACGGCCAGATTACATACTAGTGTGGGCTGCCATGGAGCCAGAGAGGAAAGCATTGACCCCAGTAAACTGGCCCCTGCCATGCAAGCAATCAGGCCTTCCCCTACAGTGCCTTTGTTGAGTTAAGCCTGGCTGCAGCCCGGATGGGCCGGCGCGCTGTAAGGTCCGATACCATACCATACGCCTTCACCCACGGCCAATCCAAGCCGGCCGGCCGTTCGATCGACGTCGGCAAGCGAGATCGATTCCGCGTCTCAGACAACAACCAAAGAGTTAGTTGCTGCAGTTGCTGCTGCTAGCCTGCTAGACGAGCTAGTGGCTATTCTGTTCTAGTCTCTCTGCCTAGAGAAAGTCACAGCCGGTGCGCCCGCCGCCTCTTCAGTGTCACGCTGGAGTCACCCTAAATGGTGCCACGGGCAGCAAAGTACCTCCTCTAGAGGACGTACCCCAGGTAAGCTTACTCCTTGCTTACCATGACTGAAGAAATGCCTAACGTAATCAACGGTCGAACGGGCCACACGGTCAGGCGGGCCATCCTGAAATCCCATATAAAAGATGTCTTTTTGATTCTATTATATATCAACCAGTACTACTTCTATGAAGCTCTAACTTTGTAGATAGTTTATATATATAAGAATAAGTATTCCATGAATTTTTCAGATTTTTAGAATTTTTACTTTGATAATGAAACCAGATTCTTATATAATACATATAAATACAGATATTGTAATATGATAAGTCCATAAGTAAAAGTATATTCATTTTTAGAAGGTATATAGATATTATTTATATTATTTAAAATCTATATAGAAGAAATCTAATTCTTCTAGACCTGGATGGTAGAGATATATTATGTTTAAAAAGATATCTTTTGTATAGTATTACCAGATGGCCCGCCTGACCGTGTGGCCCGTCCGACCGTTGATTACGTTAACCGTTTTCATCCACTGAGTCAGTCAGGTACCAGCTCGAGCCAGCTTTTAACCTACGTAGGGCTCAAAAAGTGATATCTAGGCACTGTGAAAAGCTTCATGATTGCTTTCATTGTTCAAGACATCCTCGGTTTACCCACCGTGGACAGCAAGCGCAATTTCCCTCACTTTTTCCCCTCCCAGCCTCGGGGACCATTTGCCAAACTTACCAGGGATACCAGCCTACCCAGAAAACCCCTCAGCTGGACGGAACCTGCTCAAGGTTGCCTACTAATGCCCAACTATCACACACTCAACCAGACTGTCGGGTCCATGGTGTAGTATTCGCGCTGCGAGAATCAGCCGGTGGCCTGCACTGATTGTCCCAGTTAATCTAATTTATTTTTTTTCTTGTCTCTCCCTCTCGCTCTCGCACAACTGGGACCTGCTGCATGGAGGCAGCCGGATTCCTGTCTCATCCCTCTCTTTCCGATCCATGTTCGTTAGGGTCATTCGTCTCCCTCGTCTATTCGTCTATTCGTCTGTTTTTGACTCCGGAGTACTCTCGACCACCAACCCCCTCCCCTCTCTTCCCTCCAGCAGAGGATATGGAGCCGCTCAAGAGACGGAATATTAATTTAAGAGTAACACTACTACTACTGCTACTACTGACTCCGGACTGATACTAACCAACTAATTATCAACCAGGAGTAGTTTTGAACACGGTTATGCAGAATGCCTCACCCATCACCCACTCTTTTCAGTTGACTTGCCTTACGTTCTATCCACCTCATCATTACTGACTTCGTAATTTGTTGACCCTCTTTGCTAAGGAGTCCGCGGAGGAGTGCTTCCCTCCCGTTGAGTCCAGTCCTCGGACCACCCCCAGCGAACCCATGGTTGCTCTCCATTGCTAAGCATCTCTCAATCTCTGGTTCACCCAGCTTTTCTTTTCACCATGGACAAAAAGCCAACCCTCCACGATCGCTAGAAACCCACCATAATGATAACATAATACCGACAAGACATTAATGATTCCTTCCCCGTCATATTTTCTCTTTGTTACCTCTCTCGGTGATCTCCGTGCAAGTATCCACTTTGGAAAACAATTGGAAAACAAGGCTAAACCCCTCCGTTCTCGACCTTGTTTCGCAACCTGGCCCTTCTTTGTTCTCAACATTCCTAGGTTGTATCCAGAATTGGGGCGGGAAGGGGCCCCAGGTAGGTACTTCTGCCGAATTCCCATCCCTCTGTTTGTCTAGTAGTAGTATCTATATTATTGCTTGCTAATAGCCCAAGGATGCTTACTTACCATCTCGTAGTGGAGACAAAAACCAGACAGACAAAGAGACAAGACAGACAAGGCCCGGCCGGCCGACCGACCGACCGACCCAGGATTGAGCGCCGAATGGATTCGGTTAGTAACCGTGGGTTTGGACTCATTGTTTCAGGCAATTTCCTTATAAGGTACTCCGTAGCGTGTTAGTCGAAGTAAGTAGTATTAGTTTACATGGATGTGCTAAGATACTCACGGGCAAGCCCCGCGTGCTGCTTGCTGTGCGGAGCAAAAGCGATCGTCACTTCTAAATAACTATACAATGTTCATCATCGCTTATTGTAAGTACCTATATTTGATTGCGATATGATTGTCGTGTTTGTATACGAAACCATAGCAGACAGTATTATACTTACAGTACTATGAGAGTCGAATCGAATCTATTTAACCTATTGACTAGCTAAATATGTACCCTCCGACCGAGGTAAGTAACTACTGCGAGTCTGCGACAACAATGACAAATACTAGTTTTTTCTCCTGCTTCTTCCACTTCCCCGGCCTGCCTCTCTCCCTCTCTCTCACTCTTGGCATCTCTTTCTATTTGTTTACCACAAATAAAATCTCCGGGGGTCGGTATAACTACTATGCCTACAATAGCATCCATAGCGAGCACGAAAACAGCGACGTAAGGAGAAAGAATACCAAGATATTTCCTCTTACCCCTTCCTCAGTCAACTTGATCACTACATTATGCAAGAAGATATATACATACAGGGTATAAGTAGTTTATGTTCCCTCTATCGACATAACCTATGCCTTATGCCTTTCTGAGTAGTATAGTAATGTACTTCTACGTAAAGTAGTATATCCTTCTCAGCAAGGTAGGAAGTTAGGAAGTTAGGAAGGTAGTTAGGTGGTTAACAGTACATTTACATGTGATAAGGTACATACATAGGTACTTACATCTCGTGTACCCCTTTCCTTCCACCCACCCACCCACCTTCCTCCTCCCTTCACTACAGCATAAGTAGCGTAACCGAACATACATAGCAATAGGTCACTCAAGTCCAACCCAGGAGATGCATTGCAACAATAACCACAGTCCCTGTTCCAGTTCCCCCCGTACCCAAAAAAGGTAATAGCCGTAGAGCATACCTCCTACTTACCGGTCCGAGTATCCGTTGCAGCCGGATACATACTATCCTAAAGACACACACACACATGCACACCTCGACCCAACATACACCCACACCCATAGTCCATACAGTCCCCATAGGCGCACATGCAATTATGCAAGACCCGAACCTCACTGCAATGGCAGGCAGGCAGGCAGACAGGCTATTACTAAATGGGGATTCATCCGTGCTACGATGTACCATGTACATTAGCACCAAGCAAGTAGGTAGTATGTAGTTGCTATGTCCGCATTCATGTCTCACTCAAATCCTAGTATGCGATTGAAAATGAACTCAGATAGATATATCTCCTCGGAGAAAGCACCCCCCTTAACTACAACCAACCCCATGATAAGAAACCCAGCCCTGCCCAGCAATCCACTGCAGACAGCCAAGCATCGAAACCAGCACACACCTAAGAAAGGGATATGTAGGGTGTATCTGTACCACGAGTCATTAAATTTTCTTTTTTTAAAAAAAAACCCCCTCCACTGCAAAATGCAGATCACCGAAGGGAGATAGAATGAGGAAAACTGCTTATTTTGAATCAGTGCACAGCAAAACTTACATCACACCACATATAAAGTAATCTTTTCGGGATTTGAAATTTAGAAAAATTGGGTTTGGAATGCTAGAGCGATGGATGTGTGTTGATTTTGACTGGGCTTGGTTGGCTTAATCAGCTAATTGGAATGCTTTGCGTTCGGTCTTTGGCGGCTTTTGGGGTGTGGTTTTGGATATCTTGGCTTATGTATGCACAGTAGGTATGGCTTCTTTTTGGGGCGTGCTTGGCTGCTTAGTTGGAATGTGTGTGATAACTTGGTATTGATTTCTTTTAGTTACTGCATATGGGGTTTTGATTTACTATTTCGTTATTTCTGGCTATTGTTTTTGATGGAGATGGAGAAGAGGGTTATTATGTCCGCTATGTCCGGGGTAGGTTTCTTGGCGGTGTATTGTATTGTATAGGCGCGTTATGGATGGTGTATGGTTTCGTGTACTGGTATGTATTGGTCTGGGGGGTTGATGGGGTAGACACTTTCGATGAATGAATGGCATCGTCATGATGTTATGGTTATCTGGTAGCATTATAGCTTGATTGTTTGCTTTATCATGGATTCTGCATGCTGTGGCTGATGTACGCGTCCGTAGATCATGTATAACACTGCTCTATATATGTAGTATCTAGTATCCTCGATATATAATGTCTGAATATATTCTCTAGGATCAAACCACTCATTTCCGCCATTGCATTTGGTCAGCGTTGAGCCACAATACTACATCATGCTTCTAGACCCAGCGAGATCTTCACTTTAGCATGTGTCTAAGTACCTGTTTAGATTTAGTATTAACTATTACTCATCTACTGAACCCTAGACGTATAATGCTGCTGTCTCTAACGGAGTCTATTGACAGAAGCCATATGGTATTTTCTGAATGCCATTACAGCACTCTGAGGCTTCGGGAGTTGCTGATATTGTATTTTCATGCACACCCTTTTCGTCATCTCGGACTATTCCACTGGCAGAGCAGACTGCCCCGAGAATAGCCGACATTGTCCAAGTGACTGGTGTTACCAGCGATCAGACCATGCACTCCAGCAGCTCTTTGGTGTTGGCCGAGATGATGCGCGCCAAGTACCTCTTAGACGTGTACGATGACCGAAAGTTGGTTCCCCCACCCTGCGAAACTTTCTGGTCCCCTCTGTTGTACTGGAATTCCTCATCTAGCAAGATGTTGTAGCACGTCCATGTCATCCTGCAGGTCGTTGAGGCATTGGATGATCAATCGGAGTCATTGAACAAGTTGAAGAGTCTAGTGATTTGTATGATAAATGCTGTCGAGGAGATGGATGGTATTTGCAGAACTCAGAGCGAGCTGTGTTCGTAGATTGGTAGCTCACCTTGTGAGAGTGTTTCCAATTAATGATGGTCATCTGCTGGACGACGTTGATGACCTTGAGTAGTCTCCCCGTTGCTCCTCGAGAGGTTTTGTCAACATCTTAAGCCTTCCCATTGTCATGTTATTTCAGCACGTCGTGGCGGATTGTCACTTTATCTCGACTGCATAATGAGACTCCTAGCCAGGGCTCGATCATGACGAGAACACTAATTGCAACAACTTTGAAAGTTAGATGAGCTCTTCTTCGATTAAAACAATGGATTGCAGAGTTGGATCACCCACATAATGATGATAGTGCCAGAGCCAAACAGCCAGCCGCAGGAGTAAGTCTTGAGGTGTAACCATGACGTGTAACATGGAATAAACCTGCCTGTAGCATATAGTCCCATGAGGTAACAGACTCGAACGTTTTTCACCCGAGACATACCGGTATGATGCGGCTTACCCCAACGCGTGTCCTTCGTATCCTTCGCTCATGGGTAGAAAGACCGTCATGTAGAAGTAGACTGCCACTCCGATAATGCAATGGCAGATAAGTTATATCCAGACCACCTCTGGGAATCTCTCTTCCCTGAGCTGATAATAAGTCCGCATCAAACTGCAGAAAGATATGATAGCCTGGTGTAGGTGGGTTCACGTCTCACAATAGTCAGGCTTATGCCCATATAATAAGGGAGGAGTAGCCTTGCCGCTTGTTGATTGCTAGCTGGACTTGAACCTTACATACCACATAAGTATGTATGATAGGCTAACCAGAACGGATCAGTTGACTAGTATTGTTGCAGGGCTTGCCATGGCTTCTTCTGCGGGGTGGTAATAATGTCTCGCTGTCCCCCTTATTCTCATGTCTCTCAAGGGAGACGTATGAGGAATTGTAATTGAATTCAGGGTACATGTACTATGTCTTTTTGCTAGTATTACGTTACTTTGGCCTGGGGGGCTAGCACAATGGAGCTGGAATGGTTGGTTTTGTCTGTTAAGATTCTGCTTCGAGAGGTTCGGGGTGATATGATACGTTACCGGTATGCTAAGCTATACTATTGCTTATTTAGAGGTCGTTCTTGGGGTAAGTAATATCGGAAGTCGTTGACGATTGTCGCACGGCTCTGAAATGGTTAGCGAGATATCTACTGCTACACCATTCTAGTCTTTGGTACATTAAGTATGAGGTTCAATGACTCCATAGTGGACTGATTGACTTCATATATTGCAACCAATACCTTAGTAGAACACATCGATGCATGTAGCATGCTTTTATTTAGACCTATCTGAGGTGCAAGAAATACATCAGGTCACCACAACGCCTGTCCCTTGAGCAATTTCCCTTAACCCCGGATACATCCCGCATATCATTACCATTTTACTCCATATCCGAACCTGCTCTAGACATGACCATCTTGGTAACGCGCCGTATGAAGATAGACAGACACAGCTTGCTTGACTTCAGTCGATGTGCATACCGGTAGCGAACTCGCAGCTGAGTGAGGTTAGCAGCATTCATCGTAGAAAAACACGAGGGTACCTACGGGTCTGTCGCATACTGAACGTTGCAGTGTTCCCACTCAGGATCACGTACGAGAATCCCGCGGAACCGCACAGCATCCTCGATGGAGCAGAAGCGGAAGACGACGTTGCGGGCCTAGTGAAATGAGTATGGTAAACACAAGAGGTATGAAGGAGAATGTCGACTCACATCTCCAGGCACATATGAGTCCAGGATCTTTTCAACCTTGCGACCGCTACCACTGGCCATGTTGTACAGCTGCGCCATGCTGGCATCCATGTTGACTCCAACAGCCCTCACAGCGCGAGTCGAGCCAACAGACAGGTTGAAAGAAAGCTGGGAGCTGACCACGTCAACTTCCTTGCCCATCTCCACAAACACGGTGGTCCTTCTTTCTTTGTCGAGGTCGATGCCGTTCGGGTACTTGTCGTAGAAGGCCTGGCATGCTTCATGTTCACAGAAGAGAATATGAGCAGTGCCATTGCCATGGACGTGAATAGACTCGATATTGCCACCGTGCACAAGCGACAAAACCTTAGCAGAGGTGCACCAAGTAGCGGGCAAGCCTCTGATGATAATACGACGCACACGAGAAGCTGGAGCAAGCCATGTAAGTAAGTCAACCATCGGAAGAGAAGATATGATGTATGATACCTGGCTTGTCACGAGCAGCAGGAGTGCCCCAGTTCTTGAAAGTAGTAAGGTTCTCGCGGTCCTCTACCTCACTGGCTTGACCTGAAGCTACAGCTTTCGAGCCACTAACACCAGTGCTGATAGCAGCCGCGGTGTCGTCCTGGATCTTAAAGTCACCAGCCACATTGAACGCTCCAGCCTTGGGGGTCTCGGGTTTCACTTCAGGTTCTTCGGCATCAGGCTTGATGCTCCACTCGTCATCAAAGGTGTTCTGGCCAGAAGGTGCTATGGAGGACATGAACATTAGCTACGTCGCGTCTCAACCACACAATGGCTTTGGTTGCATGGTGTTTACCAAAAACATCATCATCATCACGAGACACGGTGGCATCGTGGCCAAAAGTATCAGCACGAGACTCGGGACGACTCATTGAAGCACTGGCCTTCTCACTGGACGCGTCGACAACAGTAGTAACAGCAGGCGAGCCATAGGTCTTTGGCATCTTCAAGGAGCGAGCAGCAGCCATGAAGCTGACCGTGTCGTCCACATCGGCGACAGGGAACGCCTTGGTATTCTCCTTGTCATCCATGGTGTTGCCAAACGATGAAGATATGGGAGAAGAAGGGAGAGAAGAAGTGGGAGGGAAAGTGTCGATGGGAAGCTTTGACGGAGAAGACCGAGATGGAAAAGGAGGAGCAGAGGATGGACGGGTTTTGTTTTCGTTGACAGTGAAGTGTGTGGACTCGTTACCAGAACGACGAAGAGGGGGTTCCTGTTAAGGACTAGCAGTCAGCCCAGTGAGAATATCCTCACCGTGCTATGGTAAATTACAACAAGACGTATTGAATGGGGGTGAAGGAGAGAGACTGACCGCGAGGGCTGCCTTGGGCGCATGACGGCTCTCTTCGAGACCGAAAGAGGTCCTCTCCATGAAAGTGCCGACCACACCGTAGATTATACTAGTGATCCTGTTGGCAAACTCCATTGTAGGACCAGTACTCTTATCCATGACAGCTAGGGATGTTCAAGGGACGTTTGAAGCGGGATATCAAGAGATATGTAGGGGTCTAACAACAGGTGAGATGGTTGGAAGAGGAAGAATTCAAGGCGACAGATGAAAAGAAAGACAAACCAGCAGCTGCAGAAGAAACATGACAAAGGAACAAGAGAGACTGGCACCCTACAATATGACTAACAGAGTAGGGAATAACACATGAGGTCTAATATGATTGGCAAATCCCGCCAAAACAGCCTGTGACCAGGTGAACTTTGACGGTGAATGGCAGTTCGAGGGCGGTTTTGTCCTGAATGCTTTGGCACAGTCCCTCTACAGGTGATTCTACAAGCATCAGTGTCCCATCTGCTGATGTTCTTTTGTAGTTGTGATACAGTGTGGATTGAACTATGTCCAAGAAGCAGACATCTCATGTCCAATGGGAGTCTCAAGATGATATTTATGTACCCATAACTCGTAGCCTATACAGTGAAGAGAAACAATGCAATATGCATGCAGAAAATATCTACACGTCGATCGAAATCACCTTATGATGGTACCTCGATCTCCTCATATCCCTTCTGGCCCTCTTTGCGATGCTCGATAATGACTTGGAGTCCTGGGCGTCCGCAAAAGCCATCTTTGCCTGCAACCCGATCAACGAGTTGAAATGACCCATTTCCATCTCCTTGTTCATCAGGGATCCAGACTTTCTCCTGGGAAATCTGGCCGGGGACTTCGGTTCGTCGAGGATTGAACCAAGGCATGCCAATGAATTGGTTGAGAATATCATGGATCCATGAGTACAGCTTCTCGAACCGCCGCGTAGTTCCTAGCCAGGAAAGGGTGCGGGTGTCGTACGCAACCCGGACATACGGATTGATATAGATCCCCGTGTCCGTGATCTTCTCTGGATCCGGCTGAGGCTTCTGGATATCGGCATGGATAAGACAGCACTCAGAAGCTTCCCAGAACGTATCATGCGACGCCCGGAACCGAGCAGGTGATTTGTCCTCTTCAGACAACTGGGGCTGCATACCCATGGCCGACAAAGTTGTACCATGCTGGAAGAATCGGGCGTCGAATGCTACCATTCCTCCCCAGCAACTCCGCACCCGCACGGCATCTTTCTGAGCGAGTACGTCCTGGCGGCTCTGACCTTGCCCAGCGCTAGTGAACCACGGGAAGAAGGGCACGCCCACGCCAAAGCCCTGCAAATCGCGCGTCGCATAAGTATCGTAAAACTTGAATGGGTTGATGAAATCCACGGCGCATGCGGCCCGATATTGAGCAACGCCATCATCCGTGGCATTTGTGGAGAACAGAAGCTGAAGCGCATCCACCGGGTTGAATGCAACGTCGTTCAGGTAGAGCAGCTTATCGTAGCGCACTCCCGGCTGGTCGTCCAGCGGTCTTAGAGCTCGGTTCCGCACCTCCGCCAGGTACTCGATACGTTTGATCCGCCTTGAACCGCCGGGAACGGCAACTGTCGGTAAGTCGGCCAGATCCAGATGCTGCTCGAAAACAATGGACTTTTGGCACGTGGTCCGGTCCGCCAGTTCTTGAAGCGCACTCTCTCCATCTCGACCGCTGTCGTTCTCATAGATGCTTAAGAAAACATTGTCTTCTCCGAGCAGATCGATCAGCTCAAGCACACTGTCCCCCCAATGTCCTCGTGCTAGTTCCCCATCAGGGTCATACAAGCTCGCTGCGATGAAGACTTTCTCGTTGCGGATGTTGCCTCGGCCGGATTTCGTTGACTGAGACACCGCATTCCGAAGCGACAAGTAATGTGGCGGTGGCCGGGTATAGGAGGGCCGGAATATGGATGTTAGGACGATGAGAAGGAATATTATGCCGATAACGGCATAAAAATAATTGCAGATGCGGCGGAATAGAGAGCGACGATAGCGACCGGAGTACCTCGACCCCGGAGGCTTCAAATGGCGATAGCCAGCATAAGTTGACGAGAAGAGTCGCGACCACAGGGGCTCTCTCCTGGAATCATCTGGATAGTAGTAGCCAATAGACATGACAAACAGATCTTGACAGGCAAGTCGAAGCAATCACCTTGCTCAGCCCATGCCTAGGATACAGTAGACCATGAAAAACCAGAGGCAGGCCAGCAATCAGGCAAACAAACCATCCTCTTTTCCCCCAAACTTTGCCTGGCCAGGCCACGGGGTTTTCCCCTTTGCCACCAAGGGGAGCGCGCGCCTGCTTATGTCATCGGTGGAAAAGGAGATTCCCCGCTCACGTGCCCAGCCGGCCATCGTGGAATTGGCCATTGTGGGAGAGGAGAACCTGCAGGGAACCCCGAAACCACATGGGGGAGGATGTATATGAAGATATCTCTTTACCAAGTGAGAGTGTACTGATAACGGCCGGGAACCTCGGGGGATTTCTATCAGGCCTGCCTACCTTAACAGTAAGTAGTAGTAGTAGTAGTACCAGACAATTGCCCCATAGTTACCTTCCGACCGGCCTTATCGTTGTGCTTTTAATCGCCCCGTAGTCTCCGATTACCCCACTCACCCAGAGTCATAGCTGTCATAGGCCAAACCCTGTACCGCAGACGGTGAGGATCTCCTACGACCGCATACCTATTCGAGTACCTGTGGCCCAGGTCAATCCGGGTGCTGGCCTTAGCTCGGAGTGTCTAACTGCTAGTATGCTATCGCTCGCTCCCCAATTAATATGACGTAGGCCATTTCTGCTACGAGAACAAAGAGACCTCTCCCTGCTCTTCCTCACATCATCCATCTCTGGTTCTCCTTTCTCCTCCAAGACCTTCGTATTTTGTTCCCTTAAGAATTATTTCACTTCGATACCTATCCTCCCTTTCCAATTCTCCTTCATCAATCCTTCTCCAATCCGAATCGTCCAACGGGGTGAGGATCTCACAGACATTGCCAAAGCGTCCTCTTCACGGAACCAGACGGCAATCATGACCAAGTTCACTTTCGCCAACTCCTCCGAGAAGGTACCCGGTGATGGGATCCTCCCCGCCCAGTTCTCCATCAGAGCGGCCCCTTCAACAGATGCTTGGTCCAAACCTCCATCCACAGACACTTTCACTGCGCCGATTTTATACCGGAGTGTTCCGTTGAAGTCGTTCAAACGAGTCAGAGTCGCCTTCAACGCAGTCTGGCAGCAGAACTATGACCAGGGTGGACTCATCCTTGTCCTCAACGGTGCGGGAGGTACCCGGAAATGGGTCAAGACTGGCATCGAACTCACTCGTGGCCGACCTCACCTGAGTACCGTCACCAAAGACAACTGGGCGGATTGGAGTCTGCAGCCTGTCCCATCAGGAGGTGGAGCGGCGACGCTAGAGCTGGTGCGAGAGTCAGACAACAGCCTGTGGATTTATCTTGTGGAAGGCATCCAGAAATCCCCTCTTCGGGAGGTCACCTGGGTGTTTGAGGAATCGGATGTTCAAGATTTCTGGGTCGGGCTCTATGCAGCACGGCCTTCGAAAGAGGGGGAGGACTTGGTGGTGAACTTTGGCCATCTGATACTCGACACGTCCGATTAATGGGTCGCGTTGTGTGCAAATGTATCTTATACATGATGTTCATGGTGGTCATGTCATCTATATCCTGTCCAGATTTGAATTGGTAGTCATATATACCTGGGATCGGTATCTCTTGGCAGTCCATAGGATGTTCATACTTCGAAAATGGATTCAAGACACCTACCAAAAAGGATTGATACAATGCAATTTCTCTTCCAGACCGTAAGCACACGTAGGGCTGGAAGTTGCAAGCATGTATTAGCGGTCCTCGATGTGTGCTGGGATTACATTCGAGCGTACTGGGGATGATTGCCAATCATAACTTAGTAGCTCCGCTATGTGCCAGCTCCATTGCCGTCACTGGCTCGATCCCCAAAAGCACCGACCACCACCATGACTGATTGCATTGATAGGTAGGCAATACGCCGACTGTTGCTGGGGGCATAGATTTCCTGCAAACCGGATCACATGAAACAACACCAGCATAGGGCGTCACTTATGACCAGCATATTCACATCCATGAGGGCCGAGCTCACGGTCTACCTGACGGGTTGGGGATGAGGGATTAAATCTTCAAAGGAGGGGGAAAAGAGAGGAGCACAGCAATAGCATCTGGTCTATATGCAAGAACTGCAGCCATATGAACTGGTCCGGGCTGAAGCGACAGAGGAGAGTACTGAGCACTTGAAGAATCTTGACCAACCGCAAGAAAACTCCGTGTGCAACCTATACGAGGGAAAAACAACGCTAAGCTTTACCACAGCGGTGTCGCACAGTGGACAGTGTACCCATTCCGGAGGGTTGCGAACCGAACTTGAAGCCCAATACAATATCTTTACCCAATTGAGTAAGTGGGTGGATCGTTAAACTTCGGCTCGACTCATCCGTTAATACGACCAACAAAAAAAATATCGCATTAATTTCCTGCGGCTTTCGCGCGTTCTTGTCAATATTCATTGTGGAGGCTCGCTCCTCGAAACTCCTCTCCAAGATGGTCTTTCCAGCTGATCCGATGATTGTTATTACTCACACGGGATGATCGCTGCTTGAGGGGTAAGAGCAAAATGTAGGCAGCGGAGACTATGCACCACCCCGTGACCGACGGATGATGACCAGGAGCGGTTGTTCCCGAGTCATCCAGCATCGGCTGTGCCACTTCCCCCAATCATGCGATGGGGACCGGGATTCCTCAAGAAAAATTACGGAGAGGTCGGCCTTGCTGAGCAATCACATAAATCCGAGATCCTGATTTCTTGTTGGCGTGATTACAATTACTCTGAGTCCCCATAAGACATTCAAGGAGTGGGGGATGAATGTGAGAGAATGAAATACTATTACGCTGTGAAATAGTAGTATTATTATAGTATTAGTAGTAGTACGGTGTTTGATCAGTCCGGTTCGGCCTGCAAGGGGGAGGCGTGGATGATGCGCGCCTTCATTCTTCTTACGAGCAGAATGTCAGGCGGTCTGAAAGGAACAGTATAAAAAGGCAGCAAGTATATATGCTTACACTGCGCCTACTCTTTTGTTCTACAATATCATCTCAACACAAGAATCACATTGTAATAAAATAATAATAACAACGACGACGACGACAGCAATATAAATCCATCTATTGCTAGTACCAGGCTTCCCTTTGTACCGGGTCCGACCGCCGGACCAGGTGATCTTATCATATCTGATGCTCAGTCGCCCGCCTGCGTAGGATTCAGAATCCCGGTCGCCTTGCCACACTATCCTCCCCCCACCAACACCACCACGCTTTTCCCTAGTGAACTCCTGCAGTCGAAGCCTTCTTTGCAGCAAGGCCCAGGGGTACCTGCTCGCTCGATCCTCCTCATTTTCCGCCTTCTATCCGCCTGCGAACGAATCTCCCCCCCCTCCCTTCCCCGTCAATGGGTGCCCGTGGCCGAGGCACAAGCTTTGCAACCATTCAGCCCGCCCGAAAGACCCCTCGGTCTCATTCGACCAACGACTGGCGTGGGACAAAACAGAACATTGACAGCTCCGTTCGGACTATCTGGTGCAGCAATTCAGCGGGTGCCACACTACCCTTCTGGGCCACGGGCGTTTAGCCCATAGGCTAGGTCCTGGGCTCCCACTTGGACTTGCATAAGTGCGGCCTGTCGATCGTGCCCAGTGGTGTGAATCATATCGGGGAGCCTGATTTGGGCTTGCAGACTCATAGCTGAGCCCCTTGGCCTCCGTTCTCCGGGCTGTACGCCAGATCTGGCGATCCACGCGTTGCTGCGCATTCCGCTGCTTGATTTGGTGACCTAACTGATGCATGTGGTACCCAAACCTGGCTTCAGAGTGCTCCATCTTGCTAGTGTCTTTTGCTTTTTTCTTTTTCTTACCCTGCTTATTCTTTAGACTTTGATACCCCCTCTTCGTTGGCTAGTGTATTGCTTTTTCGTTCGGTGGATCTGGCTGGTACAGGTCGCAGATACCCTTTCTCGTCCGCTTAGCCTTGCAATCGTCAGCCTGCTCCGTCCTTTTCATGCCTGGTAACTTCGACATTGAAACTATCGGACTCGAACTGTTGCTTCATCTGCTACCTTCACGACGACGAAGTATTTGACGACCTGTCGGCATAAATGGACTTTGGTCATCTTATAGCTACCCAGCGATACTATCCATCAACGATTACGGCCCAGCCGCGATGCCCCTTCTTGACCACCGCACAGCAGTCTCATATGGTACCCTCGATCAGATGGATCAAGACAACAGGGAGGCGGAGGAACGCCTCCTTCAGGCGGAATATGACCCTGAAGGGCAGGATAGCGAAGTAGAATCCTCGGTGGATTCGGTTCAGGAGGGTGTTCGGAAGATTGAAGCGATCAATCTGACGTGGACAACACGGTCGTTAATCATAGCATATGTCAGGTAAGCCTTGTGAACTATGAGGATTTCTGTCTGCTCTCGATGTCTTTTTTAGTCGCTAACGATGTTGAAGCATCTTCCTCATGGCTTTCTGTACCTCACTTGAAAGCCAAACCGTGATGTCCCTTTCGGCTTATGCCACCAGTGCTTTCAGCAAGCACTCCCTTATCTCCACGGTTCTCGTTGTTCAAAATGTGGTGAACGGTGAGCATGTCTTTCCCTTGGGGTTATTATCATTGTCCGCTGACCCTCGTAGCTGTTATTAAGCCCCCTATGGCGAAGGTTGCCGACGTCTTCGGTCGGTTCGAAGCGTTCTGTGTCAGCATTCTCATATACGTTCTCGGGTACATCCAAATGGCTGCGTCGACCAACGTTCAGACTTATGCCTCCGCGCAGATTTTCTACTCTGCCGGATCTACCGGCTTGCAGATTCTTCAACAGGTGTTTATTGCTGACAGCAGCAGCCTATTGAACCGTGCGCTCCTGGCGCTTTTACCAGAGCTTCCATTCCTGGTCACGGTCTGGATTGGCCCGACTATTGCGAATGCAGTGCTTCAGCATACATCCTGGCGATGGGGTTATGGAATGTGGTCGATCCTCCTACCTGCCTCGTTTCTTCCCTTGGCACTATCGCTATTGTTCAACCAACGCAAGGCCCGAAGACTGAATTTGATCAAACCTAGACACCCTCATCGACGAGGCTTCCTTGCAATTGTTCGCCACACTTGGTACGATCTCGACATGTTTGGTCTGATCTTGCTCTCGACAGCGGTGACCTTGATTTTGGTCCCCCTTACCCTTGCTTCCAACGCTAAGAATGGGTGGAAGAATGGCAGCATCATCGCGATGATTGTGATTGGCATCCTCTGCCTTTTCGCGCTTCCCGCCTGGGAAACATCAAAGAAATTGGCACCCAAGCCTCTGTTGTCCCTGCATCTTCTCAAGGACCGAACAGCGCTCGCAGGGTGTACTCTGGCATTCTTTTACTTCAGTAAGAGCACACCTTTCCACCAATCAATGTATTCTGCTAATGCGTCTTAGTGGCGTTCTATTTCTCGGTTCAGCCTTACCTTTATTCTTACCTGCAGGTTGTTCAGGGCTATGATGTTGCCACAGCTGGCCGTGTGACCCAAACCTTTGCCTTCACGTCGACCATTGCTGCCTTCGCCGTGTCATTGCTCATCAAATATACGCGCCGGTACCGTGTCTATGTTACCTGCGGTTGTGTCATCTACATTGGCGGAATCCTGTTGATGTTGCTCTACCGTAAGGAAGGAAGCTCACCAGCGCAGATCTTGGGAACGCAGATTGTTGTCGGCATGGGCGGCGGGCTCCTCAACGTTCCAGTGCAGTTGGGCGTTCAAGCGTCCGCTAGCCACCAAGAAGTTGCTGCAGCGACAGCAATGTTTTTGACTTCTATGGAGATGGGTGGAGCCGTTGGAGCAGCAATTTCAGGTGCTGTTTGGACTCATCATATCCCGAGAAAGCTGCAACTCTACCTCCCTGATGAGTTCAAAGCCGATGCGGGTGAAATCTTCGGGAAGCTGACCAAGGCATTGTCTTACCCAATGGGATCCCCCGTCCGGATAGCCATCAATCGCGCATACCAGGAGACCATGAACAAGCTCCTGGTGTTGGCGTTCGTTGTCACAATTCCGCTGATCCCGCTCAGTCTACTGATGACGAATTACAAACTGGATAAGGTATGTGCTTGTGAAGCTAGTGTTGATGTTGAACGGATTGACTAATGTTGGCGTAGATGAGCGAATCATCACATCACGAGCCGATCCCAGTTGAAGATGAGGCTGAGCCTGAGGGGCGCGCGAAACGAACCTGACAGACAGCATTGGCGTTCATGTACCCTTCGCCTGAAGCTGCCACATTGTACAAACACATACTGGGAGTGCATTTCGGTTTAAATTGCAAGGGTACTCTATTTTCATTCCGCCTGCTGTCCACCGTCGCAAACCTGCCTGGGATAGAGAAGGCGGTGTGGATGACCCATAATTTGGGATTCGAAAATGGAATGTGTACAATCCAAACTATATACTCTGATGATTGATTGGTTGCCCTTTTTTTTTCCCTTTCTCTTTCATGCTTTTGGGTTGAGGCCGACGGTGCCGTTTGTGCGAGCATTCATTTGGCGTTCTGGAATCTCCTTGATGGCTTGCGCCATGACACTTAAGCTGCAACGGCGAGAACGGCCGGCAGCGGATGATCCTGCGGGATGATATTATAGATGTTACGACTAGACTAGATGATTTATGGGTCACGTTATATATATAGCAAGCATTGTCACTTATTTTTTGGATTCTACTTTGCGCCTTGTTTTTTGTAGGTTCTGATTGATTGCTGTGGTGGTGCGACGATAATAAAGCTGAGGATTGGACCGGGGGGTGGGAAGATGAGGGAAGCCGACTGATATGTACCGATCCCCAGGGTGGATTCTGGGCCCCATCATGAAACTTAGCGCGGGGGCATTTTATTGGGGTCGGTCTGGGCGTTTGCAGTGCTAAATATCTACTACGTAGTAGTACAAAGTAAGTAGATGAATGAGATGAAGAGGGCGGTCGGTGCTGTCCAACCAGCCCCGTGCGAGGTTGGGATGGCCCTGGCCTCGGCCTCATTGCTACCTTCGTCAATGACACCCTCGGGGTGGCAGTTGATCACAATCACTGCTACTGCCTACCTACTAGCTTCACTAACTACTAGGTTGTTCCTCCTTGGGCGCGTAGCGAATCAAGCTAGGACAGGCGCAGTCAGTGCGACCGTCTGGGCGAGCCAGATTGATTGGCCCAGCATCTGATGCTCAGTGTGACTGAATTCCTTCATGGCGAAATTATGATTGATTCCTTACCCAACTTGAGGTGTTACCTAACCTTCCTTACTTGCCTGAGCCTTAAACTAAGATACTGTCTGTCTTGTCTGCCTGCCTGGCCTTACCTTACATTGGACAGCCTGACTTCCGAGGCAAGCCTGGGGCCGGAGAGTGTGATGTGATGGCTTTTCTTTCTTTTGATGGAGGATGATCGGTTACTGGAGGAGTTCGCAGTTAGTACGTAGTTAAGTAACTGTATGGACTGAAAGAGAGTCTTGTTTTTTTTTTTCCCCTTTCCTCCTTTCTCTTTATCCTTTTCTCCATCAATATTTACTCTCATCATCTACTACCACGGCTCTGTTCGTCTTATTCTATCGATCGGATCCGACCAAGTTGCGGCTTTTATTTGCTTTTGGGGTGTGGATGACTTGACTTGGCTCTCC